CCCCAAAACCCCAAAACCCCAAAACCCCAAAACCCCATGAATTGAAGATCTTAAACATAATGGGAAAAGTAAAATATGGAGTTTTTTCCAAGCATATTGGGAAGTTATGTGTTTCTAGTTGTCTATTAGTAATTAATAGCATGCATTATACTTTATATAATTAAAATAAGTTTCAATTGAAAATTTCATCTTCACCACTACTCATTTCCTCTTCAATTTCATCCTCAACACTTTTCATATTTATTTTTGTCAGTCTTCCGAAATTTCCACCAGGTCCTTTGTGTGATCTGAAACTAGAAGAGGTCTTTGACCCTAGATGGCTTGGATTCGTAGGGCCATTATAAGTAACTTTTACATTATTATTTTGTTGGCTTTAGTTATTGTAGGCCCCACGGGTGTTGGAGCTGCTGAAACATCTAGAATTTGCTTTGCCGTAGTTCTCTGAAGTAAGAATTGCTTACTTAGTGAAGTTATCGTCTGCTTCACCATTCACAGCATTGCTGTTATTATTATAATACTGATTATTATTAGTGCTGCTTCCAATTATGTTGTTTTTGACATTCTGAGGCTTATTAAAGTAATTCTTTTGCTTTTGGTTATCATATGTATTATTATTGTATGCATTTACTTCAGATAGATAGGTTGACTGTTTAATATTAGTCTCATGCCTTGAGTTGTTACTTGTACTTCTATCCTTTTAACTAATAGAGTTTGCTGCTGTACTTTACTAGGAAGTATTGTTTTTACCTGTGGGGTTAATTATTTGGTTTGCATTTTATATCTAGCCTTGCATGAATTTGTGTGGATGCTGTTATAATGAAGCAGATTAAATCTATCTTTCTCTAAATTCTTTTCTAGATCTAACCCCTCTAGTAGGTACTCTTTCAACTGACATGGCACTTTCTTATCTGAATTATGATGTGCCAGTGTTATCATCATAAGCATTAAAGTTATAGAACAGTAAGTTTGTGTTTTCGTGATTCTAATTCAGATGATTGATTACTCTACGCTCCTTATTGATTTTTATCCTGATGCCTTAGGAGTGAAAGTCCTCGCTTTCATCGTAGTCGAAATCTTTGCGTTCAGATCTGATTTGAAGAATCAAATCCTATTGATTTTTTATCTACTGCTATTGCAAGGCTCTAGGCATAGCAAACTAATCATTTTAGCTATGAGGACTGTATTAGGGTTATGGGCCAAATCCATGATCTAATTTTTATTATTGACTTCCTATTCTCCTTCTCTTAAGAAGCTCTATATGATTTGACATAGACTGGTCTTCTTCAGCTTAATGATCATCTAATACTACTATCTAATCCTACTTGGTGCCTTTTTTGACATTCAATGGATTTAGCAGTACTTTATTGGCAGTTTTGCGACTATTGGCATTATCAATTATTTTTTATGTTGTTGAGTAATCACTCTAATCTTAAATATTTTAAGGATTTTAGTCAGCTTAATTTCCTCTTCTATATGCAAGATTAGAAGCAAGCTTAGACTGTTTACCAAAAAATACACTTGTACTATAGCCTTTATTGCTATAAAAATTTTAAGCAGTTGATATATTTCTATTGTCTCTTATAGCAGTTATAGGTTTATTAACAGTGCTATTTGCTGTACTCGTATTATTTGTAGTTCCAGATATATTCTGATTAGCAGTTAGAATGATTCCTTAATTAGGCTTTAGTATCTAAGTACCCTGACTTGTCTGGAGATCTTAACGAAGATAACTTGAGTTAGTATGAAAAAGGTTATTAGTTACTAGCTGGGGTGATTACTTTGCCTAATTTTATAAACTCTATGCTCTATTTTTCATTTAACTTGAATTCATGCCTTCTTTGGAATCTTGAATTATTAAAATATCTTTATTAATGAAATTTGCATTTACTTGCTTTATCTTTTGCACTCTAGGACCTTTTTTACTTCCTTGATTATTTGAGTATAGCTCATTTAGTTGTTTCTATTTGACTTAATTGGAAGTGGGAGAGAAACCGTTTGGTTAGGAGGCAGTTTTAATGTCACTTCTTTTTAGTAACTTGAAGTTGGAGATTTAGCTCACATTTTAATTTAATACTGATTTAGCATCTTTCACCTCTTCAAAATTAATTCCATTGTTTTACTATCTTTGCAAACTACCATTGCTCATAATGTTTAGTAATTGGGATGAGTTTCTGTGATTTGCTATGTTTACATTAGGAGAGATAACACTATCACCTACATTTGCGAATTATATAACTGATCCTGTTGAGTTAATATTCACATGAGACTGTGATTGTAAATTATTGGCTAATTATCCTCCTTAATTATTATTTTAGGATATTTAATTTTAAATCTGCTAAACAGTTGGCACTTGTTGATTTGACTAAGTTTATTGTAGCATTCCACTGTTTCCAGCACTTCCAAGTTGTGATCTCAGGAAATTCATGTTTTTCTTGGATTTCCCTATCCTAAAGTTTTAACTTGTTTTTCTTAATTGATGCGACTCCTATATTTAGATTAGGAACGGATTATTAAAGATATTACCTCATCTTTAGTTTGATTTGAGTTTACACTTTCCTATCTATTTAAGATGTTCATCTCAGCAGATTACTAAAGCTAGATATTGTTTATGAAGTTAATTTACTTGCTAATTTGATTGCTGAAGCTGTTTTTCTCGATTTTAAGAATAAATTGGGCTTTGTGGATTATTTGAAATTCTTCTGTTCGATGGCGTTATCATTTCATTATCGGTTTTTGTGCCTTCTTAAACTATCTCAATGTTATTTGTATCAGTAATGTAGCTTTAATTGATATGACTATTGACTTCCATAATTGACTAGATTTCATCTGCGACCATATTATGATGATTTTTATTGCTCAAATACAACTTCTGCTCATTTTACCCTCCCTGTGGATAATCATATTAACTTCTGATTATAAAAATAGAATTGATTATACTTACGATATCACGGGTAATTATTATTTCTCGCTTAGAATTTGAACTATTGAAGCTTTTTTGCATAGAGAAGGAAGGCTATCCAAGTTAACTCTGTAACTATGTGTCATTCATTACTCTGAATAAGTTAATAATCTAATATAAAACAATTTATAAATTTATCTATTAATATTTATTGCTTTTTTACTCATAAACTAGATAAAGGCATATCGGGGTTTTGGGGTTTTGGGGTTTTGGGG